TTTTTCTTCCCTAGTTATTCTCCATTTTTTCCCACCATCCAGCGGGGATCCCCCATGACTATGGAAACCCCCGTATCGTCCACCTGGAGCGTTCAATCAGGTGCCAGGCGTGCTGTACCGGGCACTCTCGCGGAGCAGTCGGGTCCTTAGATGCCACATATAGTGATATTATGTGTATATGTATATAATTATACATACATATAATATCATATAATATGATTATATACGCAATTGTACCTATATAATAATTATAAATACATAATAATTATAATATATATACATACATATATATATATCAATATTTTGCACATGTACATGCAATTCGGGATTAGTTCAAGTCCTTCAGATTTTGATTGTAACCGCAGTCAGAGCTCTAAGTCCCCCAGGCGGGGGGCTTGCGGATCGATGACAACTTTTCTGGAACAATGACAGCTTCTCTAGAGATAAAACACTGTAAAAAGGACTCAACCAAAGTATATATATATATGCCACAATAATAGTAATTTTTGTAATAGTAGTAACAATAATAGTAATAATAATAGTGTTAATAATAATAGTCATAAATAATCATGACAATAGCAATAGTAATAATAAAAATCAGAATAATGATAATAATGATTAGCAATAACAACAATAATAATGATAATGATAGTAAGAATTAATATTAATATTGATAATAGTAATAGTAAATATGATAAATATAATGATAAATGATAATAATAATAACAATAATAATATAAAACAATAATATATGTGGGTCCTGTCTTTTTTGGGGTAAATACAAAGATGATAACACTGGTTCCTAGGAAATTGGCAAGCCATGACCAGTGAGTCATATGTGTGCCCCAACTACGACCTGCATGAATATGAAGTTCCAGGAACGTGGACGTGGGACAATGCAACTTGAGCAAAATGGGATTCGAGCAATGGTCTCGTGATTTCCGAGAATGATCCCAAGCACCCCTACTCAGACCATATTTTGACAAGCTGGTTGAGATCTAAGCCATTGTAGCCCAATCATCTGTTTCTGGGACGGAGAGACCTCATCTTTGGCAGTTTTTGGGGTCCAGGTTGGTTTGAATATTTCATCGGACCCTCAAAGCCGTAACAGTTCGATTTTTTTTTGGCTCTCGACACATGAGTATGGCTCAAGATTATTGAAGTCCATAGATCCACTTCCATTCCTGGGATACACAGCTACCCGGCCAAAACTTGCAGTCTATGTACGCACAACTGCACCTCCAACCGGTGTGGTATCAAAGAAAAGTCATCGGACATGGCAGTTCTGCATGAGAGGAACTTGGAACATCCATGGAACTAATGAACTGTTGATCTAATATATATAATAATTAAATAAGAACAATATATGTGATTATATGTGTACACTTACATATATATATATACTATTATATATATAACATATGTATTTGATGGACAAACATGTGATGCCAGAAGATCAAGGGGTGTCCATTCGGCCTCGAAAACAAGGACCTCACTGGCGGACCAGTCCAGAAATGATGAGTTTGTCAGTTTGTCACTGAATTTTTGAAACAGCTTAGTGGAACTAGGAGCAGATTTTCCACAGCCAAGGATCCGATGGTTTGAGTCCACTGAATTCCCCTGGGGGATGAAGCAATGGGACCTGGGACCCCCTTGGCTTGAGCTCCATTTTCAAAAAGCAAGTTTTACAGGCTGATAACCCCCATCTATTTCGGCACAGCTAGCTACACTGCTGTTGCTCTATATCATACGATATCATACTATATCATACTATATCTCTGTATGATTCTGTATGAAGCTTATATCCAGCTGAAGATCCATATATTTTTCCCCATATTTTTCCCCTGAAAACTCCCCTGATTTCGGCAGCCTGCAGGTCTAAGCAGTGCCGTGAGCTGGGTCAAGGATTACAGTGAGAAGCGGGCGGAGAAACATCGCTGATCCGTCATCGGCCCCCTGGGCCATTGGAAACCCCCGCGTCTTTTTGGGGAGCGAATGGCACAGCCTCCATGAAAAAAAGGGCCAAATGAAGTAAAATTTGGGAGAGATGATTGGCCTGATCATCCTGATGTCGGATGGAATTGGGGGGAAGGCCATGTTCAGGCATGTTCAGCCAAAGCAAAGAGGCGTTAGAACTTGTGACCAACGATAAGTACACCAGGTTCAAAAGGGGATAGGATAGATCAGCCCGTGAATCAAGCTGCGACCTTCCAGGATCGTTCGTGATCATCGGTTCTCTTGTGCGATGGCGGTGATTTTTTTTGTCACTGCAATACTTAAACAATATTAGCCAAGTAAGTGTGGGTCAAAACAAGTCAAGTTGAATCATTCAAAGGTTACATAGCACAATTCATCCATATTTATCCATATTTATCCATATTCATCATCCAATATGCTTTTGTGGGTAAGTACCCAAAGTTTGACCGTTTGACCCATCATCAATATTTATCTCAATGGAGGTCCAGATTTTAAGTGGAGCTCCAAGTGGATGCTTGGCATGGAGATCTACTTGCAGGAGCTTGGTGGATGTTTTTTTCCAAGATATTTGGGGCGTGTTTTTGGTATTTTTTTCCCTCAAAAAAGTACCTGAGAAACCCTGAGAAATCCCGGTAAATTCCGAGAAATCCCGAGAAAATGATTTGAACATGGTATGAGAACGAATGGTCCCATCTTACCATGGCCGTTTTATGTGAACCGTTCATCTTGAGATGAGGGTACAGCCCAAAATTCCTGGGTAAGCCATGATTGACCCAAGGGTGATATGTTTTCATGGCTTAGCTCAAGCACCCGCAAGGTGTCATCCATGGCAACAGAAAATGTACGGCATCCAGCGAGCAAAAAGAGCCGACTTGGCTGACCCAGAGCTGTTGGAGGTAGGTCTAGATGGCTTATGGCTTGTCAATTAGTCAAACAATATAAACAATGGGCCAATGGGAATATCTTACCTTCATGTCAGGGGGAAACAATGGACAATCTATGTAGTTAAGGTATGTTAAGGTATCAGAGGGATCAAGTTTGTCTGGTTGCCTCAATGCGTTGGTTTTATCGAAGAAGTGTGATGCAACAGCCGCTGATTTGGATGGCCAACTTGTTGGGGTCGGGGTCCATGTTAGATTGGGGTTGCAGGGGTATCAATTATTTGTTTATTCTCCTGGATTCCTTCAGATGCTGCAGCGCTTGGGAAACTCATAGAGTTTCCGCATATGCGCAGGTGCACGCGATAGACTATCAGATTTGTTGCCGAACGTCTTCAACGATATTTGAACATCATATCCCCAGACCCTTTGAGTTTAGTAAGTAGTGATTTTGACATTGAATGAGAAACATCCAATGTTGAACTAGGTGCCTGCTTGTCGTGCAACCACCATCTTTGCTGATCGTTTTAGGAGCAGAAAACATCAGAAAACTGCAGGTGTCCTTTTTCCTCTTTTCCTTTGCAGGTTTTGGTTGGATGAAGATTGGTTACTTATGGTTACTTGATGTGACTTATTTGCCGTTCTCATGAAGGAACATGTACGGATATGTCATATCCAGCTAAGGAGTGGCTGAATCTTTTGCAATTCTTGGACTCGTCCTGGAACGTCCTGGCTTCAATAGGGCTTACATTGGTGACTCGAATTCATCTATAGCATTCTACATCTTGGGAATCCTGTGAGAGGTGATAATATAGTTCAGCATGCTTCAGCGAGTTGCGTTTCTTCACACCCATGGTTACCATGGTTATTGTTTGAGACTAACCTCCAATTTCAGCGGATGAAACCATTATGGAAACGATGGAAGCTGGGAAAGCCCTCCTTTTTAGTTGGTACAGCCACCAAGTCGAGCTGCTGACCCCTTGACTTGGAGTCGGTAAATATTAAAGATTGGTAAACTGTAGAATCAGCATTCGTTTTTCCGGGACTTCTGGGTACTTCTGGCTCGAAGGCATAGAAAATCTCTGTGTCGTTTCAAGTGATTCTCCCGGGACTTCAATGCCGTGGCCACGAGCTCAACTTTGAACCATCGGCCTCCCCATAAAGGTGAATTGGTGCGTGCAGCCTTCTAGAAATGGAGGAGTTTCATGGATGCTTTCAAGCCATTATCTATCTCATGTTTTCCCCACGCGCCAAGTGAGGGTCTCTAGATTTTCTTGGAGGTACTCCAGATCTCAGTGGGCAGTGCCCACTGCGCTTAACAGCGCTCGCTGTTGAGGTCCGGCAGTGCCCATGTAGAATATGTGTTCAATATATACTTCCAGATGGTATGTCAGAAACTATGTCAGGGTGAAAATCACTCGAAGACTTTTTTCCTCTTTCTTTCTTTCTTTTTTTTCCCTCTCTCTCTCTCTCCGGTATATATATATACGTCTTTACTAATATAATATATATATACTTATATATATATATTATTTATTTGTACATATGGGATCAATTTTCCACATATATAATTGTAATTGTATATATATATACAGAGCGTAGATATTCTGGGGACAGTCTAAAATCTTTGCTGAATGCGTTGGACCTGGACATCGTTGGTGTGTTTCAGGGCTTCTGGACCCCATTTGGAGGATTATGCCGTTGGATGAAGACCTTGCGGATCCTGTGGTCAACCCCCATCAATGCCCCCAAATGGGCCTTTGGGGTTTACCATTTCAAAGGTGCAGCATTCAAAAGACCCAGAGGTGAATAGCTTAATGATTTTGTGCTGTATCATATAATTCAAATTCACAGAATCCCTGAAATGATAACAGACCAAACCGACCCAAACCTCTTTGTGTTCGAAGGAATTGATTGCAATTGCAATGCTTCATTTCAGGGTCAAACATCAGAAAACGCGTCACCTTTGCTTGATCAAAATCTCAGAAGACACGTTGCAATTTTACTGCGAATTCAGCATTCCAGATCAAAACCTATTAAAACTAGTTAAAACCCATTCAACTTGGGTACTTCTAATAGCTCTTCTACTTTAGCTGAAACCAATCTGCAACATGGATCCAGAATACATCCAGAATTTTCAAGGCCATGAAAGGACGGGGCAAAGGTCGAGGCGCCAGTGAAAACCGGCGGCCAAGCGATACCAAAGATAGCTCAATTCATGGGTTGATTTGTTGGAGGTTAAGGGGATTATGAACGCCAGTTTCATGCCGGCCATGGGTCAAATTGTTGGAGGTTACATTACTTGTTGCAATCTTCAGAAGGAGTATGAGGAAATGTCCAATTCTGCTAGAAACTAGAGATCTAGAGACACTTAGACCTAGCATGACCTAGCAATGTCTTGTGTACACAATGCTTACGATTCACTTAGGATTATATTATTGCGGTTTAGCTTGGATTCCCGTCAGGTTTCACCAGAATTTTCATGTCATGTTAGCGCCCTGACCTCCGTCGGACGTGCCTCTACGCAACGTGACCTCTGGTTGATAAGTGTCACTGAAGCGCTAGGAATGGATGCTACGTCAGCAAATTCTCATTCGTTCAATGGTTTTAATGGATGTTTATGGATGTTTATAGTACCTCAAAATACCTCAAATATATGATACTGTAGAAGATAGAATCGGATAGAATAGTAGAATCCCAGCAAAAACAAACAACGATAAATTATGATGAATTCATTTTCCAGCTTTTTGGGAGGCCGAGCAAAGACCGAGCCAACGGCACTGGTTGAAGGCCCGGGAACAGATTTCAATGGATTGAAACAGCAAAGATGAAGATTTACACCATTTGATAAATTTGATGATCATTGAAACATCACTTGAAATAGCAAAATGAATGATGCTTTAAACGTCTTTGCAGTAATATATGCTTTAACGATAAAACAACTTGCGATTTAGCCATGAACTAAAATTAAACCAATGAACAGATTCGCCAGGCAGCAAAGATGAGTATAGGTAGGTATGTACATGTACATATGCATATTGAATTATATAGATAGTAAACATCAACCATGAAGAGTATCGGTCACAGATATGGGATGACTAATTCATCGGTCCATCTTCCAAGGCTGGAAGGTCTGGGTCCAGCCTATAGGGACTATGAATCCATCAGTTGTTTTAATAGGGACATCCAGAAAGCTTTTGTTAGGATTTAATAGGGACTATCAGAACCATGAGGATATTGGGCCTCACGTCTGTTGGGACAGCCCAACATTGAGAATTGAATTTCAGCTTTGGACTTTGGACTTCAAAAAAAAATGATATGTCATGATGTATCCCATGATTTTCCCCATCAGATTCCAACAACAAGCTCCCAGGAACTCCTGGTCCATCCCGTCCATCCCGGGGCCCCTGGGGTCCCCCAACCCGCAGGTGAAACCGGAGGAACGCGTGGAAACCTCGTGGGAAAGCGCACTTCCTGTCCATGGATCAACAGCCTGAAAACCCAACTGCCGAGACTCCATGGATCGCTATGGATCGCTAGCACCAGCGACACCAGAATGCTGGATTCGTCAGACTTTCCCGGATGGTGAATCTAAAGGGAATCATCCCCAAACAACCATAAGAAACGTTAAACACATACGATATATATACATATATATATAATACACACCGTATTTTTCGGAGAATGAAGAGACAATTTGGCTATGGCTCAAGTCACTGCGGTATGGACCCAAGAATGGCTTGTCATTTTGAGTAACCATTGATTTTGGTTGGCATCTTTGAGCCATAGCCATTGAAGGAAACAAGTTTCCAGCTGCGTTCGTTCCACATCCAAGTTCCCTGAAGTAATCCGAGTTATGGTGGGCAATGGTTCATGAATGATGTGTGTACATATATGTATATATACACATTACTGTACAATTGTGTATATATATATATTATATATATTATATATATGTATGTATGCATGTATGTATGTATATTAGAGACACAGCACATATCAATATACATGAAATATCCTTCGGATCCATAGATTCCCGAGAACTAGCACTGTATTCCCCTCGCAGCCTGGATTGATGCTCTCCCAATGATCGCCCAGAGGTGAATCAAAATCCGCAGGTCGACATTATTTGTGTCAAGTCAGAGCTTGTTTCGGCTGGATCAAGTATGGTCATCATCATTTTGACTGGATCTAGTAGAGAAATACACATCTGGTAGTTCATTTGTGATGCCTTTTGGGGTTGAGTGACTTCAAAACAGGGGGTAAGAAGGTGACTTTGAACGGTGTTCAGGTGATGAACAGAATACTGATGTACGCATATATATATATTTATATATATATATTTATATATATATATAGATAATCTTATATATGTGCATATTCATTATATAATCTTCAGTTATTAAGCCAATTTTGTGTACAGTAATCATTAAAACAGAAATGAATGTGTAACATTAACCCAAGTGCTAGTGCTTCGAATCCTTCAAAATCGAATATGTCGGGGATCCAGAAATCCTCCACATGCTTCACTGAGGCCAGATCATTCAAGCTTCAAAGGAGGAAACCTGGCTCAGTGGCAACACCAAAACTGAATGATTGAATCATACCTCTTTATGTATATACAATTATATATATAATATGATTATATATATATGTATGATTATATATACATATATATATGTATACTGCATGCATGCAAAGAACTATACACAACTGACTTGTATGTATAGACTTCAATTGATAGTTTTCCACGCGGCGATTATCTTGTTAAATTCAAGCTATTTTTTCAGTCACAACACATCCCCATTTGGGATCCACATGGTTCAATGGGTTGACTCAATTTCTTGCGTCCCGTGTATGCACATCTCCATTCTAATACTACCACGTATAGTTGCCACATAATTATATATATATATACATAACATATATATCCATTACATAGTATACTATATATGAAACACATATAGTTACCATATATATATATATATATATATATATCCATTCGTTCCATTCGTTGCATCATGATGCAGCCAGGATAATGCCATCCAGCGAATTCTGGTGCCGTGGCGATTTCTTGGGCTGGATGGTGCCCTGTTTTTTTTGCCACAACAATGGGGATTGACCGAGATTTTCGAGATGGATGTGGGTCAAAATGGAAGACCTAGGGGACCACAGATGGAAATGTCTACTTTAGTATTAACCATCCAATTATTGGGGTACCTAATTTTGACCCATACCCAGATAGAACGGGATAATGTAGGATAAGAATGGGATACCCGCTTTTTTGTCTGACAGTATCTAACAGTGTGCTATTGAACATTCGTATGCTATCAAAGTTAATCGAACTATATAAATGTCTGGGCGAAGGCTTCCATAGATATGTCAAATTACCAGAGGCTAGGTCCTAAAGATACCGAGTATTTTAAACCAAAGAAAAGACTCATTTTACTGTAGCCTTCAATAAAACTTACTATATTACAAACCAGTAGTGGACGCGGTCACACACACAAATATATATATATATATTATATACATACATAGTCAAATCATCACTCATTGGGACAAGTCAATAGAATGTAATGTAAGACGCAGACAAATCTCACGGAATTTGAAGAGGTTCTCTGTTCGATGAAAGAGAACTACAATACCCTAGGACATTTGGGCAAATAGCAACAACCTCACTACCGGACCCCGACATAAATCATACTTGGCAATGGGGAAGCAACCTAAACATGTGTTTTGTTTCAGATCGGTGAAATGTTGTAATTTGCCCAGGAAAGGACCTACTCACATGAGCTCACGCAAGTTCCAATCCTTTCGCTCCCTTGAAATTTGAAGAATGGAATAGACGAGAAAGACCGAAAACAATACAGAACCTCTCCAGCTGTGGTTTAACACAATTTCATTGAAAGGGAAATCCAGTTGGATGGAATAACAGACCTGATGTTCGGAAAAGCTTAGGAGCTGGGGTCATTTTGGGTTATTGACATCGTTGAGACATATACTGATACAATAATATACGATAATATACGTATGTTCTCATATATACATGTATCAAGAGATAGAGTTCGGACTGTTTAATCATCAAAGGTCGTGGTTTGCAATGGCTTGTACAACCCACTTAAGACCGATAAACAACTTGAAAAAACAACGATATTATTTAAACTGCAGCATCTTTGGCATTTTCAGCCCAAATTCCTGGGACCCACTGGGTTCATGAAATCTGGACCTGAAATCTCAACCTGAAATCTCAAACTGAAATCTCAACCAAGCATTTGCAAATACTTTCTGGTAATCAAGCATTGCAATGGGAATTTCCAGGCATATCATTCTAGATCCATCAACATCCGGTTTTGCCCGTGTTTTTTTTGCTATCGAAACTTTGGGGTGCTATCCCCTTGCTTGGAGGGATATGCAGATTTACCAGCACTCCATTCACCTATTTACTGTAGAGATATTGTCAGATATTGTCTATAATATCTATAAATGATATGAAATCATGACATTCTTTCCATCCTGAATCTCTGGTTTCAGTTACCGGAGGGGTCTTCCCCAGCATTTGAAGAAACGAAAAGAAGCGCAGGGAGTTGTGGAGATGTGCATCAAAGATATGAATCTCGCTGAAGCCTCAGGGGTATAGTGTCGTATTGTCAGAAATGTTGAACAGCTTCTAGAGGTCCTAATTTGTATTCAGTTGGGTTATGTTGGATTGCTGGAACTCTGGTTTTGATTGGTGATAGTCTCAACATGAGTCAACGGTTTCTTTTAGGAAACTTGTCCTAAAATGATCCATGATCCAAAAGTTGTGTTTTTGTTGGCACGCTTCGGGTGAACACACCAACCAGCTCAAACTTCTCATATATCCAAGCTTGGTTACATATTCAATTGGCGAGTTCAGTTCACCCTCTAGTTTTATTGAGTAGATCAGTTGTTGCTCTTTCGATAGTTGGATCCCTGTTGTTCAGTGCTAAAGTGCAGTTCTTTGGTGCTTCTTCAGATCACTCCACGAGTTCAAGGGTGAACTCCCAGGCTCTGATGATGGGAAACTAATACAGTACACTTATTATTGTTTTAACAATCCTGCTGTTTCTGCGGGTGAACACCACTATGTTTTTTTTCTAGGAAGTCCACTTGATGTCTTGATGTTTGCGAAATCAATCGCCGATTAAAGCCATGATTTCTGACCATGCGCATCTTGAATGAACTCCTACGTCGGGTTATCCCCCCTGCCCAGTGGATGATCCGCTTTGAGGAACACATAAAGAAACCTGTTTGACAGCTACAAAGATATTGGTTCCTATAATGTCACATGTTGCATAAATCTTCTTAGATAACATCCACAATTTTGCTTCCGTATCCATGGTTTATATACCATCTGGTTAATTTTATATGCAATGTAGCCATGGAACATGGCCCAGTTCGCTACCTTTAACAACCAGAGGGTAATCCATTCGCTTTGATGCACACAACTGCCCCTTTTCTTGTTGCTTCAATCCCCAATGTTTGATGATGAAATCCTAAAGTCAATCCATTGAAAGTCACATACATATATAAGAATATAATGTAGTATATATATACACATATGTATATAATATGCAACATAATATACGGCAACCCCAAACAAATAGAACAATAAAATCCTACTAAATTAGTGATGATTTGCTTCTCTATCGCTTTACTTGGGTGTTATATATATATAGAGTGGCTTAAATTTAAGCATCAACTCTGCCATCAATTGATGGTATGATCGTCCCCACACTTTTCTGCATCCCAGGTGAATCTCAGTACATCACTGCACCGCTTGGCAAAACTCTCTGTGATGACGCCTCACAGTGACCGCATGCTGCGACAGGCAGAAAGGGCGGTACTGGTGGTGCACAAATGGGTTAGGTTTCCGCTACCCAAAAAGGTTGAATTAATGGGAAGATCTGGGAGGAAAGTGTTTGACCAGGAAAAACAGGAGAAACACACGTTTTGTTGGAAAAAATCAAGGACACGGAATGCTTTATTCGAGGATTTGATGAGGTCATATGAGGGGTCAAATGACAAAGAAAAACATGCAAGATTAGCAGTAGATCAGCTACCCTCTGGTAATTTAACGTAGCTATTGAACATGACCATTTATAGTGGATTTTCCCATTGAAAATGGTGATTTTCCATAGTTATGTTAGTTTACCAGAGGGTATGATTTATGCTAGAACATTTCAGATTTGTCCTGTTGTTTGATCCATTTTCTTTTTATTCTTGGTGGCAGTCGATGATCTAAATGAATAGATGCACAGAAGCCTAAACTCTCCGTTGTCAGTTGTTAGCGTTAACCAGAGGAGGCCTCATGTGCAAACTGTGCACAATGTGCATGTCACTGGCTTTAGTGAAACTACAAAAACGACGACGATAGACCTTGCAAACAAGTTTTTGAAGCCACTAACCCAACCAATTAGTCATGAGAAGACCACAATCAGTCAGAAAACCCCCAACCAATGAGAGGAAATCAGCATAGTTTCTGAACCCACTTGAGGAGAAGGATATAGCGAACAATGGAGAAGGGGATGATCATTCACCATCACCAGCGTAAAACTAGGGTCCAAGTGTATACAATATATATATATACACTGTATATATATATATATATTGGATACACTGTCTGTATATAATAGGGAAACAGCCCACTTTGGGTACCAAAATCAAACCTTGCTGAAGGGTAGGTGAAATGCCTGATCCTACATAAGAATATTTCAACACAGCTTAAGGATTACTGTATTTGCCTGGACTCCAAGATTAACCATGTTAATTCTTCCATGAAAGATAGGTATTTCACTCACTTTACCTGAACTCGAAAGGTACTTTCATGTATGCGGACTTGTACTTGTATGAGGTAATCAACCACCTCTCATCATGAATCTTGACTGACCTTGACTCATAGATCAGTCCTTCAAAGATCCAGAGATGTTTTTGTTCTTGTTTCTTTGGCTCACAGATGCAGCGGCAAGGATCCACAGATGCATTTGGAGACTGGAGACGGCAGAGCAAACAGCAGAGCCACATGAGTTGGGGTCCAACAAAAACGCACAGCCGCTTCGAAAACTTCCAAGTTTCCAAGAAAACCTACAAAATCTGCATTTGTAGCTCCCTTCAGCCAACACCAACAAGGAGATTTCCACTGCTTTCTGCGCGGTTTTGGCCATGGAAGGGGAACAACAGAGCAAAGAGGGTCAGTTTAACAGCAGCAAACGAGAGATCATCCACATCCAGATGCTGGGAATGAAGAGCACATGTACCCCTAATCCCCCTGTAGCCACTGGAAACTAAGATTTTGGATCTTCAAAAATGATCAAAACTGGCTCTTTTCACGGTAAAATCATGGTTTTGAATCCACTTGGAAGGTTGCCGGTGTAATGGTAAAGCCTGTCTGCTTGATTGAGGATGAAACCCCACAGCCCAAAAAATCTGACATCATTTCACCCCAATTTCACACCAGGAGCCAACATGAATCGGGACATTATTACTAGCCTTGCCGGTTTGGGCCGTTTGGGCGTCCGGGTCGATCAGGATCGGCAAAGCTGGCAATCAGATCGGCAATTGGTTCTGGCGGCAACTCTGCCTGGAACATCAAATTGAAGTGGACAAGCACGACCAGCGCGGCTGTCAACAGGGGGAGCAGCAAGGCTACTTGGATGTCTTCTTCAATGAGGGGAGAAGTAAGAGAGCCTTGGATTTGAGATTGTTTCTAGATGGTGTTTAAGTTTAGGTGTTTTTTAAGGTCTTCAAGGTCACCACTCTGGCAGCAGTCCAGGTTTCCGAAGTGGGGGTGCCCCAACAGCTGGAGGGTTTATGGAAAATTAAGGGCTGCCGCCCCTGCCGCGACCCCGGAAAAAAGGACGAGTTTGACCAAGCTCCGCTGGCAGTGTGTATATATATACACATAGATAGATAGAAGATAGGTATAGATATGATAATGATATGTTATTATATAGATATAGATATTTTACTCGACATATCTATATTTACGCATATATAATATGATATACAGTAATTATATAAATTATATATATATATATTTATACATATTATATGTATATATATATATTATAACGACATATATTCTACATATATATATATTGCATAGGAACAATAGCTGCTTCTTTATCATTGTTCATGCCCTTAGCAAAAACGAGCCTCCGCCACGCCTAAACAGCAGGGCAGCGAAGAACGGAGATGCCACAATACCTCGGCCACAAAGTCCCTAACGTCCTGTCTGAAATCCGTGCTAAAGAAATCGTGCAATAGTGCACAACGGCAGCAAAAACATCTTCCGCCACCCCTAAACATCTCTGAGATGCCACAAAACCTCGAACAAAGAGTCCCTAATGTCCTAAAAGAGCCAAAGACATAGCGCAAAACGGCCGCATGTTGTTGTTGTTGTGGTGGTGGTGGTGGTGGAACTCTGATTCCCTGGCGCCCTCCCCCTTGCACCTGCCGGGGTCGGCGGATATGACATCGACTATTCAATACCCCATACCTTGTGAAATCAGTCCCGCTTGAATAGTGCCTGATCATCCCCGCCGGTCTTGACGGTAGGGGTCTCGTAGGGGCCCAAGGTGTGGGGTATCGAAAACGTCGTACTTCTAGCACTTCAGTCAAACACGCCTCAACGCAATCAGAAAGAATTCAGATCATGAATGCTAGACTCATTGATCGCATGTCAGCTGATTTGACAGAACATTGACTGGGAACCGATGGTTTTTACCACCCTGAACTGAAAATGAGATCCAAGTATGGGGGACACTCGCATAGTTCGCGTGGCACTGAGTAAAAGAAAAAAACCATTTGAATGGCGCACAAAAAGCCAGGGTATCCTGATTCTCGGAAAAAAAAACCAAGATCCCAGGAATCGCTCGACAATCACTACACTTCTACTTGAGTTATTTTGAGTTGTACCCTCAGTCTTTTTCGATTACATCGCTAGTTCTTCACTCTTGCACTTAACCACACGTTCTCGTGGGTCAAAATCCCACTATAATATGTCAGGTTAAACCCCGTTCAAACCCTGATTTTTCTAGCTCAAACTCCTCACTCCTCTTTGGTAATTTAACGCTTTGCTCTGGACAGTCATATTTTTCATAGCTTCATCAAGGAATATCATCGAACTACATGGGCCTTGGCCTCTATCGTTGCCTCAGGACACGTGCCCCGCGCCATTCTCATGGATACCAACCTTGGAGACCTGGCTTCAGTGGCGCAGGATCCCAAAGTTGGAGATGCCCGGCTGACAACGGCTGCTCTGGGTGATCGAACCATGGGGACATTGGGATTTTTGATTTGATGGCTGTTTACTAGTTTACCTTCTAGCGATTCAACATCGCTATGGCACATTTACTTCGATGATTTGCCTATGGAAGTTGGCGTGTTTTTTTTCATAGCCAAAATTGACAGAGGGGACACCAAAAGAACAACTTCGATGGGGAGCATGATGATAAACGACTGGATTTGGGTGTACCCAGTTCTCTCTTTCATCTTCTATCTATCACGAGCGATTTCATCGCAACGATGTCACCATGAATGATAGTCAGCAAACGGAACCGCCTTCTTTTGCCGAAACTTCTTTTGTCGAAATGATGGTGTATATATATAAACACTAGATATCTAATATATATATATTAGACACATATAATATCTAATTGTATATATACATACATACAGCCGCATTGCATAGGATTATTTAACCTTTTTTTTCTACACCCGCGCCTTGCATCCCATCGGTTTTTTAAGCATCAGGCATCGCCCACAGATTTAGTCGCCATCCCATCAAAAGCAAGACCAGATCTGGGGATACTCCATGGCACAGGAATTTAGGGAGTTTCCATGTTTTATTTCCATATGTTTCCCATGTTTTCTATGATTTTTCTTTATGTGTCATGATTTTCCCATATCTTCCATGACTTTCCCCATGTGTTTCCTCGAAATGTCCAAACTGCCCCCCGGGCTGCGACCCTAAGGATCTCTATCGCCCCGAGAACATCATCGGCAACGACGAGAGTTCGGGCAATTGCTACGCCAAAGCCTTTCACACGGAAGGCCCCGACCTCGCAGATCGGTGTCTGGAGATGGTACG